TAAAAGTGAAGCAAATTTGCCTAAAATAATTTGGTGTCGGGACATACAAATATGTAATAAAAAAAATCCAACATTATATATTCATTATATATTCATTATATATCATGGCATCATCAAACACAGATCCATATTCCGATCCAAACATTCCTTACGCAAATTTTCCTGAAAACCCCCGTTTTCACGATGACCTTCAAAAACTAAAACAAGCAACTATACTTAAACAGCTAAACATTTATTTGAGTATAACGAGTATAATTAGTGGATTTATAGTATTAATTATAATATTAATAATGTGGCTTTACGACAGAAAGTTAGTAAATAGAGTTTCGCTCCGACTTTCTGGGATCATTTCGTTTGTAGACATTTTGTCGGGGTTTGCCGTAATAGCATATACGTTGCATACATCCGGAGATAACGTATGTACTTTTATCGGATGGTCAATGTCTTTTCTTCCGACATTATATCTTTTCTTGACGGTGATGATAGCATTTAATCTACAGGTATTTATTTTTTAATTAATTTAAATCATTTAAAAAAATTTAAAAAATTAAAAAAAATTAAAAAATTAAAAAAAAATTTTTTTTTTTAAAAAAAAATTCAATCTACTATAATTTACTATTAGATCGTATTTCTTCATCGTAAGAAAGTTTCATCTTTTTCTGATCGATGGTATATACCTGTTGCCTTCTTTACCTCTTTTGCTATAAATATTCCACCTTTGATTTATCATCGATTTGGATTTGATACAGACGGAAGAACATGTCTTTATGTTAATCCTACTAGTGATGAAACACAAATATGGAAATGGGCTACTTTTATCATTCCAGTATCTTTGTCTATGATATATTGCACATTAGTTCTTGCAATTGTCATAATGAAATTAATTTTTGAACATCGAAAACTGGCTGACGTAGTTCATACACAAAAAAGTAATGCAACTTTAACCGAAAAAAACAAACGACAAAAGTTACTCTTGTTGAAATTAGTTAGTCGTATTTCTTTGTATGCTGCAATTCCTCTTTTGAATGTTAGTGGAATTGTCGTTGAATATACTTGGTTATTTTTTCATAAAAAAACTAAAATACCACCACCCCTTATTTATTGGGCAGTTATCGGATCATGCCTTCCCGGTACGTATTCATTTTTCTAATTATAATCTTATAGTATTAATTAGTAAATTAATAATTATCAATATTTTATTCATTATAGGTCTATTTAATTGTCTTGCTTTTCTTTTCGATCCTGCTATTCATAATGCTTTACGAAAAGTTAAAAAAAATCTCATTGATAATTACGGTTATGAGAAACCTGGACCTTCTTTACACAGTCCTCCTGCATCACCATCTTTCCCACCAACACCAACAAGTCCATTTTTTATGCCTCCATCTTCACCAACATTTTTAAATAGGCCTAATAATCCAACATCACCTCGTTCACCTGGTATGCGTATTTTAATACCACCTTATTCACCACAAAGATCCGGTTTTTCGCCACTTGGATCCGCTGCCCTCTCGCCACTTAAATCACAATTTTCACAATTTGGCTCGAATGCTACTCAAAACAAAATGAATCAAAAAAAAAATCGTCCAATTTTAAGATGGTTCGTTAGAACATTTTTAGACAAGCAAAAACTTCCCGTCATACCAAATGGTCTTTCGATAAGTTCAGGATCAGATCGTGGACATGCATATAGTTCTGCTACTGTTAATTTTGGAACCTTATCTGGTCAAAGTTACGGTCGTGATTATCGTAATGGCGAAACACGTAGATACATGTATGATATATATAATAATGCAAGTGATAAACGAAGAAGCAAATTCATGAAGAGAATATCACGTGTCCTAGCTACACCTACCGAAGAACGTGACTTGGACTTTTCAATAACAACGTCCACGGAAACAATAGTTACAAGTAGTGATTTGACAAAATCATTTGACTCTGAGACAAAAACGGTAGTTAATCCTTCTAAAAAACCACCACGTCTTAACGACTCACCTCGATTAGTCTATGAACACAGTTATGATGGTAGTGGATCATTTTTGTTTCCTCCTGTGATGGGGAATACTACCATCAATATTCATGTGCATCAATATCCTTCAAATACTTTTATTGAAGCTGGGCCGTCACGATACGTCCATCGCAGATCTGATTCTAATGATTCAACAATATCGAGAGATTCAATCGATAATGAATTATCAGCATATTAAAGAAAAAAAAAATTGTTGAACCTTTTTTTTTTTTTTTTTTTTTAATATTTATGTATGTGTTGAATAAGAATAAAAAAAAAAACACAAGTTTCTCGAATTCACCATAATTGTATATAAACACCTTTGTATTCTATAATTTGGAGATTTGGTATTTTATTTTTTTTGCATGTTTTAATATAAATAGATTTTTTTGTATGTCCTCATACATAATTTTTTTCAGGAAAAAAGTGTAAGAATATTAATAATTTTATATTTTAGAAATTAGATTTGTTACCATTATTGTTCTCGTGAATTTTTGATAAACTTTATTCATTTATTTATTTATTTACCGTTATTAATTACATTTTTTTTATTTATTTATTTTTATTTATCTATCTATATATTTATTTATTATTTTATATATTTATATATTACTTCGACAAAACAAAAAGCATAAAAGTTGACTCTCTTGATTAGGTAAATTGGGATGAGGAAAAAAGCCAATTTTCACCTATATATTGTATATAACATCTATTATTCTGAATGTAGAAAGTCATGCAAATGTGTTTAATTACACAACCTTGTGTCAGTCATCTACTCTTTTAAAAAAGATGAATTGTCTCGTGTCATTTTATTCATTCTTGGAATTAAAAAAAAAATTGAATTCTACACTTCGTATTACGTAAAAATTTTTATTAAAAGTGTGATACGTATAGGGATGATATATAAGGCTGTGTGCATAATGATGGAGGCTTGCGCGATGGTGCAAAGCCGAAAGTACTTTCTTAGTAACATAAAATGTATAAAAAAGAATGAGCAATCTTTTATAATTAAAAAAAAAAATAAATTTTCCAATCTCATAACGATAATCATAAAACGTAATAACAGTATATGTAATGATCTCGGAGCCTCGCCCCGATAAATATTTTTCATAAGCATTCAATCACATAATCTAAGTCATGCATGCATTATGCAAATTCAGTTGTACCAATTAGAGATAAATAACAGATAAGCTTAGAATTTCTAAAAATAAGGTGATTACACTAATAATTGGTTTCGTGGTGTAATGGTTATCACTCAGGACTTTGAATCCTGCGATCCGAGTTCGATTCTCGGCGAGACCTCTCTCAAAATATTTTCTGCACTTAAAAATTAAGAATATTTGTTTCTGCGTATTAATTTTTATTTTATATATTTGGCTAATTTTGCATATTATTTTAGATATTTAGATGTCCTTATAGTTTTATCGGATAGATTTAAATTTTTTTTTATATCATTTTATCATTATTCGATTTTGTACGACAAAATGAAATGCTTCCGATATTCGGTCCTGAAAAGTGTCAAAATATCAGTTCAAGTATATTAAGCTTTATTTTTGATGGCTTAACACATAATTCAGCTATCTTCAATGAAGAATATATCTAACTTATTTTTAATGCAATTAATTAATTCATGTGGATGACGATTCAGAAATACAGAGGTGCATCCCGACAAGACAGTACATGTATCAGTGCACTTAAAAGAGAACAATTGCATATGAATTAGAGAGAAAGTAGCATTCGCAGAATCTGTACGTAGTCACTTAATGTTGTCTTGATGCAACAAAGTCCCTTTATATTTAAATAAAAATTGCAAATTCTAGAAACTCTAATTTTTTCTTCGAATCGATAGTAATAGTCTAGAGTAATAATGTTGGATTTTTTTTATTACATATTTGTATGTCCCGACACCAAATTATTTTAGGCAAATTTGCTTCACTTTTA